AAGAAAGAAAGAAAGAAAGAAAGAAAGAAAGAAAGAAAGAAAGAAAAAGAAAAGCCTTAGGATCGGCATGGAGGGCTGTGCTTGGCAGGGTCACGCTTGGCAGGGTCACACAGGCTCCAGACAACAAGGCTGTTGTTCCCTGGTTGTAAACGCTTCCTGGCAGTTCTCCTAGATGCTGCTTTGTGGGTTTGCACTTTTCAGCAGAGCAAAATGGGCAGGAGCCGGCATGCTGGGTCTCAGCTGAGGGCTGCCACAAAGGGTCTCAGTTTTCATCACCACCTGGAGCATACAAGCCAGAGCTGAGGTAGAGATGGCGGTTGCCACCGAGTAGCTTACAAGAGCTGTTTCGACAGGATGCTGGCCTGCACAGGTGCGTGCTGAATTTGCCCCAGAGGAATCTGATAAAGGTGAGATTGAGGTTCTGATGGGGGAGAGAACAGTTTCCAGCTGTACCGTGAGTTGTTCTGTGGGCCATAGGCCACCGGCTCTGAGCTCACCACCCAGAGTGGGACAATCTCTTCTTTGTTGTGTCAGGGGCGAATATGAATGAGGCAAGAACTGTCCTGACCTTTTTGATGCTTGTCCAATTGTAGACTGGCTGGAAGCAGCCAGGGGTGCTTCTCCCAGCGGTGCTGCCCACGCGTGGATACAGGGGGTGGGTTTCCGGAGCAGTACAGCGCACACAGCTCCTTCATGGGGTGCCAGTTTTCAATCTGTAAAGACTGTTTCTGTACCCACAGGAAGTTAAGGAATTAAAGTCTGTCTAGATTTTGAGCTGAAGCAAAATTAAGTCCTTGTAGCTACATATAGTGGCATATGTAATCCTAGCACTCTGGGGCCTGAGGCAGGGGAAATCTGGGCCTCCGGGCAAGAACAGACTACAAAAAAGAAAAAAGAAAGATAAGAAAAAGCAAGTAAGTGAGCAAGGAGATTTAGTGGTGGTTATGCAAAGTAGGATTTCAAGGCCCACCTTACTGAGGCCAGCCTGCCTGGCTGCATGAGCCCCTGTCTCAACAAGGCCAGTGGGATGGCTCAGTGGGTAAAGGTGTTTGCCATGCAAGGCTGGTTGGATTCCCAGAGTCCACATAAAGGTGGAGAGGACTCACTCCAACAAGATTGTCTTCAGACCTCCCCCACACACTCTATGGCGCGCACGCACACACACATACACACCCCAAAACAGAAACAAAAATTAAAAAAAAAAAAAAACTTTTTTTTTTTTTTTTTCAGGAGTTGGGGTAAGGAGATGGTTTGGTTGAGAGTATTTACTGCTCTTGAAGAAGACTTGGTTCCTAGCACCCACATGGGGTTTCTTACACCATCTGTAACTCCAGTTCCAGGGGATCCAATGTTTTTTTCTGGCCTCCACAGGCACCTGCATGTATATAGTATACACACCTACATGCAGGCACCCCACACACACTAGATATTAAAGGAAAGGGTAGAGAGGACCAGTGATGGCTCAGCAGGTAAAGGCCCTTGCTGCCAACCCTGATGATCTGACGACCCGAGTTTGAGCCCCAGGGCCCACGTAGTAGAAGGAGAGACCTGATTCAACATATACATACCCACAAAAATAAGTTAAAAAGAAAGACGGCTGCTGAGACGGCTCAGCGGGTGGAAGGCACCTGTTGCCAAGCCTGATGAGCTGAATTTGATCCCAGGGACCCACATGATAGAAAGAGGCCTGACTCTTGTGAGCTGTCCTCTCATTTTATGGCCTGTGCACTCATAAACAGACACACAAAGATAAATATTGTTTGTTTGTTTGTTTTTTGAGACAGGGTTTCTCTGTGTAGCTCTGACTGTCCTGGCACTTGCTCTGTAGACTAGGCTGGCTTTGAACTTACAGAGGTCTGCTTGCCTCTGCCTCCTGAATGCTGGGATTAAAGGCCTGCCATTTAAAAAAAAGGAATGTATTTTTATTTTGTGTATAGTGGTGTTGTGCCTGCCTGTATGTCTGTGGATATGTTGGATCCCCTGGAAAAGGAATTACGGACGCTTGTGAGCTGCTATGTGAGGGCTGGGAATTGAACCTGGGTCCTCTGGAAGAGCAGCCATCTCTCCAGCTCTGCCCTCCCTGCCCCCTTTTAAGGGTAAGGAGTTGAAGGAGCTCAGTCAGTAGCGCGCTTGCCTAGCAGTCAGGAAACCCTAGGGTCCATCTCCAGCACCACAGAGCAGCAGGCATGGTTGCACAGACCTGTAATCCTAGCTTTGCTTTCTGAAATAGGTCTTTTTAGAGGCCGAGGGAGTAAGACTTCATCCTCTTATCAGGGCTGTGGCAAGCGTCAATAAGAACTGGGTGAAGGTGGATACTCCTGCTGTAGGTAGATGGTTAACGCTAGTAATGAATTAGATAAGGCGTGCTGTGGAAACCGCTTCAGCTCTGACGGGACCTGGAGGCAGTCAGGAAGCAGTGGGCACCTCTATCTGCCCAAGACTGCAGCTCTTGCACTGCTGCCCTCAGGGCCATAGGGATTCCACGGGGAGAGATGTGCAGACACTTTGGAGGATGTGAACGAACTCATGTGACCGGTGGACACATCACTCACTCAACTAATGACTCTGACCATTAAGATTCTCAGTGCTGTAGAGGCAAAAGCTGGCTCACTCACACTGTTTCTGGGGACAGGGCGGGTGGTGGCGGTGGTCTCCCTCCCTGTCATGGAGAAATACTTGTCTGGGGAGAAAAACATACAGGAGAGTCATTAAAGCAGTAGTTTATCTGGGGAGTGGGTAGGAGTGGAGCATGACAGGAGTAACGCCATGCTTTGTGTTTAGCCTTCTTTTGGAGATAGGGTTTCATGTAACCCAGGCTGGCCTCAAACTATATGTAGCTGCGATGACCTTGAACCCCTGATCTTCCTGCCTCCACTTCACAAATGCTAGGATTACATTGTGCCCATTAGTGTGTATATGTACACATAGACATGTGTGTATGGAGCTGGGGGCTGGTTGTGCACGCTAGACTCTATCAAATGACCTGTCCCTCAGCCCTTGTCTTCATCTTCGTAAAAGCCAAAACCAGCTGCTGCACTTGTTGGCACACACCTGTAATCCCAGCACTAAGGAGTCTGAGGCAGGAGGACTGCTGTGATTTAAAGGCAACCTGAGGTACCGTAAGACCTTGTCTCAAAACAACCAGACCAGTGAGATGGCTTAGTGGGAAAAGGTTCACAATGCCATGCCTCATGACACACACACACACAATTACAATAACAGTTACAAAAATTTTAAAATTGCAATTTTCAGGAAAAACTCAGAGAGGAAGACAGCAAAGTTTCCTCCTGAAGAGGAGAGGGTCATGGAGGTTGATAATCACAGTGAGTTTGTTGGCAGATCATGCAAAAAAAAAAATTGTTTTTAAGGTGTATTGCTCAGGTATATAATCTCAGCACATGAGGGAAGGAAAGGCCAGAAGATTCCAAATGTTCTAGGCCAGCCTGGACTATAGAGTGAGACTCTGCCTTAAAAAACCAAAGCAACTAATCAGTGCTTGCTTTCTGTGCTCTACCGCATCTTCCCCCTGAGGCCAGGGCTCCAGTCCCTGTTCTTTGAAGCACAAGTTCAGAGAGAAGACCTCAAAGGCCAGCAAAATGGCTCAGCAGTCAGAGATATACATGGTGGAAGGAGAAATGGACTCCTTCAGGTTGTCCTCTGATTTGCAAGCACGTGGCTCATGTGCCCCGCTTCCCTCATACAAAATAAATAAATCAAACAAACAGAATGGTGTGCACACAAGTCATTCTAGCACTGACCAGTGGAGGCATGATTTAGAGGCTGCCCTCAGCTACATGCTTAGACCTGGATCCAAAAAAAAAAAAAAAAAAAAAAGTCTCAATCATGCAAAATGTGAAAATTAAGAGGACTTTATTTACTTTTATATGTTCTTGGAGAAAACCATTCGAATGTAAAAATTAGACATCTGATAGATTTAGTTATACTTTATTTTATACATATCAATTTGTAGGGCAGACAGAATTCTTCAGCTCAATGGGACTTTCACATGATTACAGTCACAAAATTGGCACACTATATTAAAAAACAAAACCAAACAGAGACAGACGGAGTATGAAGCTTTATGCCAACTGAGGGCCAGTGTGCACTGTCCTCCTGACGAGATCTTCGAAGTGTCTGCAGTGAGCTTACCAAAATAGAACCAGAGGTCAGAGGTCACAAACAGTGGCTTACAAAATAAAACCTCTTTTCCAAGAGCTACTTGTTTTATAGAAAAATATTACAAATAAAATTAGTGCTAGTTGAGGTGTTTATTCGAAAATCGCATGTGGTGCACTGGTTCACGCCAGCCCTTGGGTACGGTGCCTGGTGGAGACTGCACGATTGTTTAGGCTACCATGGCCATCCTTTCAGCTCGGGTAACACGCTCTCAGCCTGCCGACTGACTGGCCAAAAGCTGCACAATTGTAACATTTGCAGCCAATGGGTACACTCATAATTTGCTCCTAGTTTGAAACTCAGAAAAACTGCCCAGGAAACGTGACATCATTTGTATTTCTTTCTGAAGGAAAGAAATTTGTAGACGTCTGTAATCATAAAATAGATTTTTTTTAATTGCTAGAAATAACTAATTGTTTTCATAGCTGGGATTTTACTCAGAGATGATTCGAATTTTGATTTCTATTTTTGAGATACAATGCAAGGCCAGTGCTCCCAGCTGGTTTAAAAATGCTCTGTGCAGTCCAGGTTGGCCTAGGACTTGCTATGATTTCCTGCATCAGTTCCCTGAGTGCCAAACTCCCACACCCAACACCCAGCTTCAAATGATCCTGTGTTTTCCTGAAGGGCTGGAGGCTAGGTAACATTTGGTAAGCAGAGATGTTTCAGAGCGCTGCTCCAATCAGTTCAATCCTCCTGATTTCCCTTTGCATGATTACGTGAATTTTAAAGAAGAGAGATTCTACAAGCTATGTACAGCGGTTTACACCTCCCGGTGTTTTTCACTTGATGAATGGTGACATGAAATCATGACATAGATCCGTCACAGCAGTCTGTGTAGGCACACGGAAGCGTCACTGCAGGGGCGAGGTCTTCAGCGGGATCATGATCCTGGACTCCATTTCCTGAATGAGTGGGACTGAAAAACAAGATGGAGGTTACTGCCTTTCCAAACACACGGGGATGAAGACACACTCCCAAGGTGCCTGCGCAGACCAGACACACTTGCTGTTAGAAAGCACGGGAGTGCTAGGAAGGGACTGATTACCGCAGCAGAAAGAGGTGCCACCACCAACTTGGATGTTCCTGAAAACGGGAAGAGAGCTGACCCGGAGAGCTGCTTTTTAGTGGGAAATTAGAAGTCTTGGTTGTGAAAAACAGCACTTTCTCAAAAGTTTCTTTAAACTAAAAAAAAAAAACCCCAAATAATGCTGGATCTAAATGTATCCCATAGAAAGGAAGAGTGAGATGGCTCACGCCTGCATATTTACAAATGCATACTTAGCTGGGCGGCGGTGTCGCACACCATTAGTCCCAGAAGCAGAGGCACAGATCTCTGTGAGTTCAAGGACAGCCTGGTCTACAGAGTGATTCCAGGACAGCCAGGGCTACACACAGAGAAATCCCATCTCAAAAAACAAACAAACCAAAACAAACAAAAAATACACACTCAAAACAGGAAGACGGAAGGAGTCATTATAACTTACCTGTATAGTATACCAGTTCCTCCCAGCCATGCTTGTGCCATGCTGCGTTCCGGATGTCCTCCCTGCTCTGAAGATCTGTATAAGCTTAAACATAAGCACAGGAAAGATCTGAGTCAGACACAGTGCCCACATTCTAGGAGCACAGGCATGCAGCTAGCCATGTCCTTTTCCCTGGCACTATTTGGCCACTCAGTAACTGACTTGGAAAATCACAAGCACAGACTGAGAGAAATCAGGGTTAGGCCTCTGAGAGGACTGACGCTATCTGCGCTCTCATGGTTTTATATGACAGGTAGCCTAAGAGGTCTTTACAAAGGAAGCTTCTGCAACAGCACACTACACTTACGATTAGGAACTTGCAGATCAGGTAAGCAATGGTCTGTAGACCACAACCCTGCCTTTGCCTCCCAAGTGTTGGGATTACAGGTGTGAACAGCATGGTCCGGGTAAAACATGTGCTTTCGTTTTTAAGTTTTAATTTTGATCTTATGTGTATGGGTGTTTTGCCTGCCTGCATGTATGTATGTGTGTGTGTGTATGTATGTATGTATGTATGTATGTGTATTCTGTGCATGGTATGGAGGCCAGAAGACAGCCATAGATCCTCTGGACTTGAAGTTACAGGTGGGAACTGAGAATCACCATGTGGGTGCTGGTAAATGAACTGGGTCCTCCCCAAGAGCCATCAGTGCTCTCAACCAGTGAGTCAGCCCACCAGCTCTAGAACACATGCTGTTCTCTGCTGTTATTATTGTTTGTTCGTTGACATTTGTTTATGAACTCTGATCTCTGTGGAGCTAAATCTCTGCTCAGCAGAAGTGCAGAGCTCAGGACAAGGCTGCCCGCGGGGGCTGTGAGGATGAGGGGTTACTGGCATAACGTAGCATTGGTGCATGGCCTCAGTTTCTTAAATGCTAGGTAAGCTCAGTTGAGCGGAAAAGCCCCAGTGGCAGCGGGGGTTCTGCGAGTGAGGAAGATGGAGGAATTATCTTTTATTGTATCCACCGAAGCTTAGCTTCCCCACGGCTCTGCTACTATGTAACCAGACTGCACTATTTTTGGGGATTTCTTTTTCCTGATGAAGAGTGAATCCAGAGCCTTGCACATGCTAGGCAACTGTCCTACCACCAGGTCACCGCCATGTTTATTTTCATTTATTTATGTGTAGGTATGTATACTTGTGTGAGGTATGCCAGGTGAGTGCAGCTGCCTGCGGAGACTGGAAAAGCATCAGGGAGATCCCCGAGAGCTGGAGTTCTTCGGAAGAACAGTGAGTTCTCAATGGCTGCACCATCTCTCCAGACCTCGGTGGTGCCGTTTTTCCCATTTTAGTTTTCATTTATATACATACATGCAATGAAATATAACTATACCCGTCCTCTCACCTCCCATTCCCCCTTCCGATGATGCTCTGAACCCTCTTCAGCAGCCCATGCTTTTATTTTATTTTTTGCCCCATCCTACTTTGTAGCTCAATGCTGGTCTGGAATCTGCCGTGTAGCCCATGCCGGTGGTGAACTCTCAATCCTCCTCCCTCAGCTTCCTGAGTTCTGCCACCTTATCTGACTTTGGCCTGACTCATTACCAGTTTCTAAGCTGATGATCTGCTGACCTGTTGCTATTGGCCTTTTTGTTCTAGACAGCCCAGTGCTCACCACCCACGTGTGACTTGTGCACGTTTGCATTTGCTGTAGTGTTTAAGGTTACAGAGTCCAGATTTACCCCACTGTTGATTACAACTTGATTAGTAATGAATTCTTCAACCCCGGTAAGTCACAAAAGAAGAAACAATATACATACCCCAAAGATGATGCACCATATATAGCTGCCCAATTTGAGAGAAGAATCCCCCAACCGCCTCATTACTGTCCTGCCTAAAGCGAATGGCACGCGCCCTATGAGAGAAAAGCAGTGTTCGACAGTTAAGGAGAGTCAGCAGGCCCTCGGCTGTGCTCATGCACACCTGTAATGCCAGCACTTGGGAGGCAAAGGCGGAAGGTAAGACAGAGAGCAGCCTGAACCACACAGTGAGTCCAGGCCAGCCCGTGCTATGTGTTGAGACCCTTTCTAGACAAAGCAAAGAATCAGACTATTTTCTCCACTCAGAGCCAGCAGTTAGCAAAGAAGACTGGCTTCTCTTAACATATATCAAATTATTAAATGCAATCAAGTCTTTATTTACTTAGTACCTCATCCTGTACCCCAGGCAAGCTTATATATAGCCCACTAACTTCAAACTCATGGTGATTTTCTCACCTCAGTATCCCAGAGCTTAGGAGGCTAATTATTTTTGTGAGAAGTAGATAATATTAGTGATGACTTTAAAGAAAAAAAAAAACAGCAACATAAAGATATGTGGTGATACTTCTGTTTATTACTAACTTTAAGGATATACTTCTGACTCTTGACATAAATAGGAAGGAGAGAAGACCTGTTAGAAGGAACTGCTTCATGGCTGTGAACTTTGCAATCTACAATAATTTTCCTCACAAGATAAGCCCAGTGGTACAATGGTGGCACTAATATGATTGGACAATCGACCACTTTTGGGTTGGATTTAAGCCCTATTCCATGAGGTGGAATCCATACTTGACACTGTTAATGAGGACAACCTGCTAGTATATGGACACAGCAATAAAATGACTCCTAGGGACTTAGGGCCAGGCCGTTACATCAGTACAATACTGAACCCTCATGAGAGCTTTTCTTGTGGATGATAATTAACAGAGACCCACAGCTGGTCAACATGCAGAGAGTAAGGGACTTCGAGGTGTTCAGTCCTCAGGAATATCTATAAAGGTACAAAAGCTCAGGATCTATTCAGAAGAGAGGGCAGGAGGATTGTGAGAGCCAGAGGTGGTGGATGACTTCAAGGAAACTGTTTTCTAGACATAAATTGGAAAATGCATTTTATGAACCCACAGCAGTTATAACAGCATACACAAAAACGTCAAAAACTCAGGCCAAACAAAATCCCAGCATGCAGGAGAGGAGGTATATACAGAGACCCACTCCTAGTTGAGGAGTAATTGGCATTTGATTGCTGCTGAGAGAAGGAAAGATATATTAATATATATATATATTTTTAATGGTGTGATACCTGCTGTTATCGACCTCTCTCCAGGGTGGGCCCTTCTGGGCTCTCCCCTCAGAGTGGTCAGCCAACACCAAACTGTACTTTGTGGGTTTATTAGGAGAAAGATAAGAGAAAAACCATGTTGATGGGCGAGTAGGGAGGTGGGGGAGGATAGGGGATGTTGGGGAATGGAAATGAATATGGTCAAAATACATTGTCTAAAACTCTCAAAGAAATAATAAAAACATTTTAAAAGAATTGCTTCAGCGGGATGGTGGTGGCACACGCCTTTAATGCCAGTGCTCCAGAGGCAGAGACAGGAGGATCTCTGTGAGTCAGAGGTCAGCCTGGTCCACAGAGTTCCAGGTCAGCTGGGGCTACACAGAGGGAAACTCTGCCTCTAAACAACAACAGCAATGAATTGCTTCAGTAGGGTACACAACACTCAAGATACTAAGGGTACCCTATCTAAGGGGACTCCATTCCTGTGGGTTGAGGTAGACACAGCGAAGCCAGCGTGGTGGTGCACACCTTTGATACCAGGAGGCAGAGGCAGGTGGATGAATCTCTGTGAGTTTCTGGTTTACAAAGGGAGTCCAGGACAGCCAAGGCTACACAGAGAAACCCTGTCTTGAAAAAAAAAAAAAAAAAGAAATAGATATAAAGGGACTCTTTCACAGCAGAAAGAAATGGGGTACTGTGAGGAGGCCCCTTTTTGGCAGCACACCAAGTCAGTACTTTCATTAATACAAATGAAGCTGCTAAAATCTACATACCTAAAAAAGCTAAACAGCAAGGAAGACCCTAGGGAGGATGCTTAATTCTCATTCTGAAGGGCAAACAGGATAGACAGTAGAAGCAGTGGAAGAGAGGGAACAGGACAGGAGCCTACCACAGATGTTTTCTGACTCCACCCAGCAGGGGATCAAAGCAGATGCAGAGATTCACAGCATTTTGGGCAGAGTGCAGGGAGATAGAAAGACCTGGAGGGAACAGGAGCTCCACGAGAAGACCAATAGAGCCAAAAAATCTGGGCCCAGGGGGTTCTGTAGAGACTTATGCATCAACCAAGGACTATGCATGGAGAGGACCTAGACCTCCTGCTCTGATGTAGCCCACAGGCAGCTCAGTCTCCATGTGGGTTCCCCAGTAAGGGGAGCAGGAGCTGTCTTTGACATGAACTTGGATGCTGCTCTTTGATCACTTCCCCCTGTTGGGGTGGCATTACCAGGACACAGAGGAAGAGGATCCAGGCAGTCCTGATGAGACTTAATAGACTAGGGCCAGATAGTAGGGAAGGAAGATGCCCTCTTTTCAGTGGACTAGGGGAGGGGGGTTAGGGAAGGAGGGAGGGAGGGAAGGTGGGTGGCTGGGTGGGACTGGAAGGAGATGAGGGAGGGAGCTACAATCTAGATACAAAGTGAATAAGTTGTAAAAAATAATATTTTTTTTAAATGAAGCTGCCTGTAACTTTTTGTTTTCTGAGAAAACTGTGTACTGTGGGGGAAGTACATGCATGTGTGCTACTGGTGTATAAACCACAGAGTTGTGATTGAAACAGTCTAAGATAGGAATCTGGGGTTTGGAGAGATGGCTCAGGGTTAAGAGCATTTGCTGGTCTTCTTGAGGACCCAAGTTTTGATTCCCTACACCCCTGTCAGAGGGCTCATGAGCACCTGTTCCCCCAGCTTCAAGGAATCTAGTGCCCTCTGCTGGCCTCCACAGATGCATGCATGTGCATGCACGTACACACATACACATTTAAAACTGATATAAACAAATCATTAAAAAAAAAGTCCTCTAAAACAAACCAACTAACCAAACCCCTTTTCCTTTTCAAGATTCAACACTGCAAAAAAGCATCAGTTTTTTTTGTTTTGTTTTGTTTTAAAAACTTAATCATCATCTACTGGCACCAGACACTCTGTTTCACATTCAGTGAGATCATGTGAAATCTTGACAATGTTTAAAAATGTATTTTCCCCCAAAATCAATTTTTTATCATCCCAGATAAAAATGAAGGCAGAGGCTTCAAATGATGTAGAGATCCTATCCCACCAGGAGAACAAAGCTAGAGTCTATCAAGGGTGTCCTCACCATGGATTACCCAAAAAAATCTGTATTAATATTACCCATGGCTCTGGCCTGGTCTCAGGCACACAAAGGGCTTATCGCTGGTGAAATTTGGGGAGACGGATTCAATCTGACTTATTTAAATGCCTGGAACCTGAAAAATAAGCTACTAACTTCTATAGTGAAAAAAATAACACTTGGTGGACAGGATACTTTATTTTACTGAGCTAGAGTCTTACTATACCAGCCTAGGCTGACCTTGAAAGCATGATCTGGCCTTAGTTTGCCAAATGCTAGGACTACAGGTATGTCCACTGTCCCCAGTTGCCCTGACGGCGTATTCTCTTACTGTGGAAAACTTTATAGACTGACTTCTAACACCCTAATGGGGCTCAGAACCAGAGGCATAACCTGTCCTGTTAGCAACGACGTTAGCCCGATGAAGACCCCTTTATATACCTCTGTTCTCTTTTTTAATTTTTTTATGTGTGAAGGTGTCAGATCTCTAAGAATTGGTGGTACAGACAGTTACGAACTGCCATGTGGGTGCTGGGAATTGAACCCAGGTCCTTTGGAAAAACAGACAGTGCTCTTAACTACTGAGCCATCTCTCCAGCCCCCTACCTCCGTTCTCATTCATGTGTACCAAGTATCCCAAGTGTGACCCCACCAAAGGCTTCCGGGTTCCTCTGTTGTCAAGGCCCCATAGATTATCCATAAATTATACAGATATCATCACAGAAATTACAAATATGATCAATTATCTTGAATTAAGGAAATCAACTGAACTGTGCACTGTAAATGTTCAGGAGGAAGAGAAGAGCCTTTCATTGGTAGTAATAAAATATTCTGGATTATTCATTTCATTCTGAGGTTTTCCAATTCGGTTATGGAAGGCAAAGAAAATATACTTGCCGTAGCCTGGTAATGACAAGTGTATGCAGCAGAGTAGGCCGCCATCTTAATAGTTACCTATGTGCCAAAATATAAGTCAAATGCTGAACTGGCTATACACAAAGTTTAACATAACTGAGGAACCTCAGCATATCCCTTGGATTCCCTGTGAAAAAAATATTAGTTAGTGGCATCCTAATTGTATGAACATCTAAACCTAAGTTATAGGCTAAAACAGTGCTTCTCAACCTGTGGGTAGCAGCCCTTTTGGGGGATTCGAACAACAGGGGTCACCCAAGACCATCAGAAAACACAGATATTTATATTATTATTTATAACAGTAGCAATATTACAGTTATAAAGTAGCAACAAAAATAATTTCATGGTTGGGGGGTCGCTACAACATGAGGAACTGTGTTAAAGGGCCCCAGCATTAGGAAGGCTGAGAAGCACTGGGCTAAAATGAACAGCTTAAAAACATGAACAAAAACCCTTGGTAAAATGGCATCTCTCAGAGTGTATAATCAAACATGTACTTCTTTTTTCTTTGTTTGAGGCAGGGTCCCAGTAGCCTGGGGTAGTCTCAGACTTGCTATGTGGACTAGGATAGCCTTGACCTCCTGATCCTCTGGCCTCTACCTCCTGAGTGCGAGGCAGTGTGCATTGCCACATCTAGCTTGATTGGGGTTTTGTACTGAGCCTAAGAACTTGTGCCTAGTTCAGACTCAAAAACACTTTCCCTAAGTTTTTTTCTAAAGATCTCATGCTTCGGTTCTTCCATTTAAAGAATGTTTGTTTGTTTGTTTTACATGTATGAGTGTTTACCTGCATGTATGCAGTGTGTACAGTGCCCTCAGAGCCCAGTGAGGGGCATCAGATCCCCTGGAACTGGAGCTACAGATGCTCGTGAGCTGCCTTGGATGTTGAGAACCCAACATGGGAACTCTGCAAAAGCAGCAAATGCTGTTACCCACTGAGCCATCTCTCCAGACTCTTGAGTTCATTCATATTTTTTTTTCATAATGTGAAGCAGGAGTGAAACTCATCCTTTTTTTTTTTTTTCTTCATATACTGAGTTTCATATACTGAGATGAAATAACTATCTTCCCTCAACAAAAGAAGATTTATCTTGGCATATTTGTCAAAAAGAACCTGTCCACAAATGCAATCAAGTGTCAGCTTCTAGTCCCTCAGTTCTGTACCGCTAATTTATATGTTTTTCCATGTGCCAAGACTATACTTTTTTTTTTTTCTAGACATCATCTTCCATTGTACCCCAGGCTGGCATCTAACTTGTGGACATCTTCCTGCTAACACTGCAGGCATAAGCCACTGACATGAGGCTTAAGGTACCAGCTTTCAGAAAGAATCATCAATCTTCTACTTTGTTGTCTAAGCCTGTGTTGGGACTTTGTTACTCAGACTACAAAGAGAAAAACAACTGTATCACTAATTCCATTTGCTCTGTTCATGTAACAAAACCCAGATTCCTGAATAAATGGCCTCAAGAAGTGCAGAGAACAGTGTCACAGGGTGTTGGATGTGTTTGCAAGGCCTTCTTTTGAACAGCTATATGCAGAAATGGCTACAGATTGAACAGCACATGGTCTTGGTAATTCTGGCGAGTCTGAACTGGAGGAGTTAGACCTAAACAAGATTGGCCATGAGTTAGTTTATTTTTATGTATGTGTTTGTTTTTCCTGAGACAGGGTCTTGCTATGTCTTCTGACTATCCCACCTTAGCCTCCTAAAGGGAAGATGTCATATGTGGTTTGTGTTAATAATTATGGAAGCTTAGGAATGGCTATAGAATAGGATCCGTTATATCACTCTCTCTAGTTTTGTACATGCTTGAAATTTTTCATAAAAACATAAAACAAAGCCTTCTAAACCAGGGGCCAGCAAGTCGACTCAGGGGTCATCTTGGTAAGGCACTTGCTGCCAAACCCGATGGCCTGAGCATCATCCTTGGGACCACATAGAAGAAAGAGGCAACTCCTGGAAGTTGTCCTCTGACCCCTAGTAATGAACAAACAAAAATGTAGTAAGAAGAAGATTAAAGAAAACAAATCTGGAAGAGGCTGGAGAGATGGCTGTGTGGTTAAGAGCACTGGCTGCTCTTCTAGAGGACCCAGGTTTGGTTCCCAGCACCCTCATGATGAGTAACAAACATCTGTAACTCCAGGTCCAGAGGCTCCAACACCATCTTTCGGACTCTGCGGGCAATGCATGCACGCAGTGCAAAGACACACATGCAGACAGAATACCCAGACACATCAAACAAAAATAAATCTTAAAAGGACGGTGGTGTGTGTCTGCAGTCCTGGTTAGTTTGGAGGCAAACCAGGGAGAACATTTGCGCCCAGGCCTTCAAATTTATCCTAGCAAGCATAGCAAGAGACAATATTTAAAAGTGCAGCATCAGGATGTGGCATTTAAGACTTCTTTGTTGTTGTTGTTGTTTTAACCTAATGACTTACAGTGTGAACCAGGTATGGTGGCACACACCTGAAGTCCAGGAACCTGGGAGGTGGAAGCACTAGGATCAGGAGTTCAAGGGCTGTCTGGGCTACGTAGTGAGACTGAAGGTATGCTGGGATATGAGATTATCTCAAAAAAGCAAAACAAACAAAAATAATTCATGGAGTGGCTAAAAATAATCTGAATGAGACTAACAGACTACTTACCAGTAATTGCCCCATTCGATCATTGTTCCTGGCTGAAATGGAATTTAGATTTTGGTTAGCTGTATGAAAAAACAGAATAGGAGCAAAACTGTGACTCTCTGCTGCTTTCCTAAGCATCACTTAGTATTTTATGGTGTTATATGAGAAGACAACCGACACATAACGGAAGTCACCCACGAATGGTGATAAAACTATTGTTAGTCTATCCTTTAATGCACCAAACACCTCTTTCCATTTTTCTATGATCATTAGACCTTTAAATTATTTTATTTATTTTTATGTACATTTGGTATTTGTGTGAGGGAGTCGGATCCACTAGAATTAGAGTTACAGACAGTTGTATGCTGGGAATTGAGCCGGGTCCTCTGGGAGAGCAGACAATGCTCTTAACTGCTGAGCCATCTCTCTAGCCCCCATTAGACCACCTTTTAATGCTGCTGCACTGGAGGCTGGGGAGCATTAAGGATGTGTATAGAATGAAGATGGTTAGTATTAGCCATGTATTATGGTTAGTATTAGCCATAATAATACATTAGCCATGTATTCTATTGCAAGTACAACTGGAGGGCATCAGTAAAAATGAGGCTATCTCTAGGTCATTCTTTTTAGTATACAGAAAGGACACACTTAGAAAGCTGTAATGCACTCACTCTCATTCTTATTTTTTTTTTTTCAGTTCTTTTTGTTGCTGTCTTTTGAGACAGGATTTTTCTATGTAGCCTTGGCTCTCCTGAAACTTGCTACATAGACCAGGGTGGCTTTGAACCACGGAGATCTGCCTGTCTTTGCATCCTAAGTGCTGGAATTAAAGGCAAGTACCACCGTGCCTGGCTCACTTTCATTCTCACTCATATGGAGCTGTGTAATTTGTACAACACTGGGTGTTTATTAGGCACTCTTGGTTCAGCAAGTGTAGCTGCTATATATTGTGCCTGGTCTGCACTTGAGGGCTTTCCTCTGAAAAACAAAATGCTTTCTTGGGCTGGAGATGGAATGGAGCTCAGTTAATAGAGTGTTTGCCTGGCACGCACAAAGCTCTGGGTTTGATCCTCAGCACTGTACTTACAGGGTGTGGTAGCGCACACCAGTGATCTCAGTGTTCAGGAGGTGAGAGCAGAAGGATCACAGTTGAGGGCTATCTCTGGCTACGTACAGCTTGCAAGCAGCCTCAAAAAATTATTTGTAAAAACATCAAGTAATAAACATTATACATAATGCAATAAATACAAAAGAACTTAGCAGAAGAGAAGCGATGAGAAAGAGAAAAAATAAATCTAGCCAAGAAAGACTAGATTGGGGAAAATAAGTCAAATCAAAATATAAGCCACCAGGTGGTGGATGTCTGTAATCCCAGCACTCAGGAGACTACAGCAGAAGGAGCTAAAATTCAATGGGAGAACTATAGAATAGCCCTGTTTCCAATTACAGCCAATACCCCCAAAAAACAAATGAAAGAGGCTAAACACATATAACAAAATGCTCACTTCTGTTTTACTGCCTATATCAGGAAGCAGCATGAGGACAGCTGGCCTGCGTTTGCTACTTACTCGGAGTTTGTAAGACCTGAGTTCATATATATTGGGTCCTGATCTCGGCACCGGCTCATTCCAAAAACTGAACTCCAACAGCAACTGATTCTTCCTGGAGAGAAGCATGTCACTTCTGGCCTTACGGAAATTTATAAATTCCTTTGGGTGAAAAAAAAAAATTACACTCATGAAATCTGCAGACACTTGCATATAATATTAGTGACAACTACATTCCACAAGATATGGTTATAAATAAGACCATCTTAGGTGTGTGTCTCTGTGTAGCATTGGCTGTCCTGGAAATCACTCTGTAGACCAGGCTGGCTTTAAACTCAGACATGCCTCTGCCTTTCGCGTGCTGGGATTACAGGTGTGCACCACCAGGCCCAGTTTACATCTTAGTTTTTATCCATTGCATTGGAATAATGAACACAGCATGCCCCCTCACTCCCTAATGTAGCCAGGGTTTTTGTTTGTCTATCTTTATAAAGATTTGTTTGTTTTATTTCATGTGTGTGAATATTCTGCCTGCATGTATATATGTGCATGAGGCATGTGCCTGGTACCCATGGAGCTCAGAAGGCATCAGATCCCTTGGAACTCGAGTCACAGATGGTTGTGAGCTGCCATGTGGGTGTGAGAATCAAACCTCGGTCTTCAGCAAGAGAAACAAGTCCTTTAAAACCCGAGCCAGGGTTTGACCCCAGCACCACATAAACTAGGTATAGGGGTGAGCACCTATGATCCCAGCATTTGAGCAGCAGGAGAATCAGGAGCTCAAGGCTGTTGTAACCTGCTTAAACTCTATAGCCCCTCTGTTGAGACTTACTTTAGTTCTCAGCATAACTATGGCTCCTCTGTTTACACCTGATGTAGCCTCTAGACTATCAGAAGCCATTTTGCATCCAAGTCTCCAATTTGATTATGTCTCTATGGTTTCATTTCTCAATATTTGTATACTTTGTTACCTGGATACTCCAATGAAGTTCTCCAGCTGCAGAACCAATGAAATTAAAGGTCAGTTAGAAATGCTTGTCTAGCTAGTCAAAATGATGTAATGTTGCTTCCTATACTTGATACCTGGTTGTTTCCTACACTTGGTTACAGTGTTGTTATCCAGTTGCTACTTGGTTGCAGTTTTTCTTATAAAAACCTGCTTTAGGAGTAGGCTAATGTCATAGTCTGACTTCCCAGATCAGACTGTGCCCCTGGCCAGTCAATCAGATTGTGTCCTGTTTAGCGTTCAATAAACCACTGTTGATTTGAGCCTGGTGTCTGAGTGGTCAGTGAGCGGGTATTCCTGAACCCATAACAAAGGCCATTTCTGGGCACATGAGAAGTTTGAGGCTAGCCTGAGCTATATGAGACCCTGTCTCAAACAAACAAAAATTTAAACAAACAAACAAACAAACAAACAAACAAAATATAAGTATGGGGCTGAGTTTCCAGCTGCAGTCCAGGGCTGTGTCCAGAGCTTAGCCAGTGTTAAAGCGCTGTCAGTTTCAGTGTGCTATCACAGAGGAACTGGGATTTTGATGGTATTAAAACTGGTAATTTTGGTCTGGAGAGATGGCTCAGAGGTTAAGAGCACTGGTTGCTTTTCCAGAGGTCCTGAGTTCAATTCCCAGCAACCACATGGTGGCTCACAACCATCTATAATGAGATCTGATACCCTCTTCTGGCCTGTAGACATACATTGCACACATAATAAATAAATATTTTTAAAAAACTGGTAATTTCATGCTTACATATAACTTTAAGAGTTCATATGATGAAATTTCTACTATGAAGACTGAATGGTTTACTAACAAAAGCTGATAATGGTGTCATCATGAAGTTCTGTTGGAATATAGCCTGTATCATTAAACTGCACAAGTACATGTACACACACACACACACACACACATTTCCCCCTCCAAATCATTACCTTGTTTTCTCTGAGTTTATTCATGACCTCCGTGAGGGCTGGGTAGCCTCCTTCATACCTCCAGAGGTGGACTGAAATGCATTTTAAAGATAGTAGACATTAAGTATCATGGCGTTTACCTGACCATACAGATGCATTCCACGTGAACACAGTACAGCATTGTGGTGTGCTTTGTATCCACCCTTGAGCTATTTTATAAAGTTTCTGTAACAGATTTTAACTTTTTTTTTTAAAGGTAATTTTACAGTAAGTGACTGAAGAGACCACTTGATCCAAGAACCCAGAATGGGACTTGAAGAAGATTGTAAAAGCAAGCATTAAATGACAAAAACTAATTTAAATGACTGCAAAGCAGCAAGAGGAAAAAGTATTTATCCCAAAGACTTTTGCTTCCTACCAGCTTGATCCTGTTCGCCATACCATGTGTTCCACGTCCCCACCAAGGTACAAGGGTACTGCTTGTCTTCATGGATCTTTGGTAACACTTCCTGACTTGAAGAGAAGAGACAGCAATGCCAATTAAACAGGGAAGAGGTTTCCCCAAAGAGGTCATGGGAGCATCAACTAGAACGCACCAGCTTGCTGTTCCAGCTTACTGTTCCAGCAACAGCCTCCACATCATATGTATTTTGCTTTGTTTTAGGTGTATTTGTTTTATGTGTATGAGTGTTTATCTGCATGTATGTCTGGGTACCATTGTGTGCCTGGTGCCCACAGAAGCCAGAGAGTGCATCGGTTCCTTGGAACTGGAGTTAGGGATGGTTGCAAACCTCGGTGTGGGTTCTGGGACTCGAACCTAAGTCTTCTGCAAGAGCACCAAGTACTCAAAACCGCTGAGTCAGCTCTCCAGCCCTCCACAGCACACTCTAAGATGATGTCTGGAACTGAAGCGCTGGCCACAAGCTGTTCTCTACCAGCACCCACCTCATCAATGGCTGAGGTTTTAACCCCAGGTTATCTACAAGGGTTCACGCCACTTCTGCACACCGATAACGGGATTTACAAAGGACCAAAGGTCCTGGAGTCCAGGAGCAATGGCTCTACTATTTGCTATTTCAGGAGAAAAAAGAAAAAAAAAAAGCTATTTAGGAATGTGCTGTTTACAAAAGTTAAGTTCTGCTGCTTCCCATATAAAACAAAAGACAGGAATTACACACAAGTCCATGGAAAAAATCAGAAGGTGGGAAGAAGCATTTATGATTGAGGTAAGCAATGGCAGCTCAGCAGAGCGAGGTGGAACAGGCCATGGAGTGGGGTATGGGCCATCCAGACACAGAGATGCGGGGCAAGCCAGTGTTCACAGTCTTAAAGGTCGCCAGTGGGGTATGACAATGAGCAAGGGTCAAAATGAAATACACACTTGAGGCAACAATAGGCCCCACTCAACTTAGCCGGCGACAGGGATCTGAGGTCTCACACGGACATACCATCCAATTTGGGATCACCATGAATAGGACTGGTGGCTCGGCCTGGACAAGCCATGGCCATGTCTGACTTTTAACAGGTGTCACAGCTGAGCTCTGCTCCACAGAGACCTTTCTATGATGTAGACACGGACTCACGTAGCTGACACTGATCTTAAACTTGGAGCTGACTCTTCCTAGGCACTGGCATTATGGGCATATGCCACTATCTACAGGCATATGCCTGGCTATACAGAACAGTTACACTAGATCCTGCCTTTTGAAAAAATGAAAGAAAGCAATGCTACTTGTGACAACAGGACTGTAGAAGGCTGGTGATAGGTACTACATGTGTAGTTTGTTTGTTCGGTTTTTTTTGACATAGGATTTTGCTATGTATCCCTGGCCAGTCTGGGACTTGCTATGTGGACCCCATAGGCAATGATCTCTTGCAATGATCTCCCTGCCTCTGCCCGCCACTCCCCAACCCCCACCTTCCCTCCTGTTAGTGTCTGTATTATAGTCACATGCTCCCACATCCACTTAATTCTGTGTTGCTTCTGACACAATGTCTTATTACTGCACATTCCTGGCTGGCCTTGAACTCAGAATCCTGTCTCTGGAATTCTGGAATTTTGGAATCATAGGCGTGCACCAACAAGAATAGCCATGTATATATCTTGAAAGGTGACATTTTCTTTTGTATTGTACATTGATTTTTTTTTTTAAGCTTAAGATCTGCTATTAAGTGTGCCTGATATATAATCCAGGGCTGCCCAGGAATAATGCAAATCTGGGGTGGGAAAGGATGAATTCAGGTTTTTTTTTCCTGGTGCCTGATGTGAGCAGGAAGCAAACAACTGTTCGGTGGCACTGCTCGGTAAGAGTGACATCAGTGTGGGTGACCAAGGTGGGGTCCAGAAAGGTACAAGGTCTGGGAGATGAGGGAGCAGGGCGGTGAGAGGGCTCTGGGCTTCTCATCTGCACAGACTGACGAACAGAACCAGTCCGTTCTTTGTGCAGGGGCCCCAAGGCTTGCTCTGACAAGCCCTGGCCTTATCAAGTGGAGGCCAGGAGGTAGACCGGTACCTGAGAGCTGGATGGGCGGGCAGAGTCTCCTAACAAGGGCCTTTAAAGTATGGACAGCAGTTAAGGTATGGGAACAGGTGCTGCTCAAAGTTTTAATGAAAAGGAAAGAGAAAAGAAACACACAAAATAAAACACAACAAGGGAAGAAAACAGAACTCAAGCAGCTTGGTCTGACATACTTTGGGGTAACAGTTTGCTAGCGAGATAAGGAACATGTCGCTCTAGCCCAGGAGACCAGCCAGAAAGGAAGTTAACCTGGGGACAGGGCTTGGAAGGCTGAGAAAGAGTTGAAGGAAGAGAGGACAGGGAACCCTGATATAAGGCAGGTGACCTCCAAGAGCCCAGGAAAGTTTAAATATAACACATCAGGGACAGAGGGGAAAGGGAGACTTGGGGTGTTTATTTCGAAGGGAGTGGAAGCTGTCCAAACACATATAAGACATGCAGCCACAAGTCTAAGATGCCAAACAAACAGGACAAGGAAGATGACCCAGGGAAGCATAAACACAGAGAAAATGCCATTTTGTGAGGGGGAAAAAAAAAGAGAGATTAACATCTTTGGTTTTGGCCATGTTTACTTATTTACTTTAAAGATTTATTATTAGTGTTTTGAGACAGGGTTTCTCTATGTATCCCTGGCTGTCCTGGTACTTAGACCAAACTAGTCTCAAATTTAAGTGCTCTGTCTGCCTCTGTCTCCAAAGCACTGGGATTAAAGGTCACAATTTATTTTTATTTTATGTTTAGGGGTAGTTTTGCCTACATATATGTCTGTGTATGTAGTGCCCACAAGAGGGTGCTGGATCCCCTGGAATTGGTGGACTTTATTAGTTAATTAATTTTCATTTTTAATAATTAGTTTATTCACTTTGTATCTCCCCTGTAGCTCCCTCCCTCCTCCCCTCCCAATCCCACCCTCCTTCCCCCTTCTCCAACCATGTCCCTCCCCAAGTCCACTGATAAGGGAGGTCCTCCTCTCCTTCCTTCTGATCCTAGTCTATCAGGTCCCATCAGGACTGGCTGCATTATCTTCCTCTGTGGCCTGGTAAGGCTGCTCCCCCCTCAGGGGGAGGTGATCAAAGAACAGGCCAATCAGTTCATATCAGAGACAGTCCCTATTCCCATTACTATGGAACCCAGAACTGGTGGACTTTTAAAGGAGAATGGACCCCATATATTTGAATGCTTGGTCCCTAGATGGAACTGTTTGTTTGTGAAGGATTAGGAAGTGTGGCCTTGCTGGAGGAGGGTGTCATGGGGGGATAGGCTTTGAAGCTTCAAAAGCCTGTGCCATTCCCAGTTAGCTCTCTCTCTTTGCCTCACGCTTGTAGATCAAGATGTAAGCTACAGGCTACTGATCTACTAGCTTCCTGCCCGCCTGCCTGCCATACTCCCAGCCATGATGGCCACAGACTCACCCTCTGAAATGGTAAGCCCCCAATAACTTGCTTCTTCTTTTAGCTACCCTGGTCACGACCTCAGAGCACAGCAATATTATTATTCAACATGTGGGCACTGGAAACCCAGGTCCTCTGCAAGAGCAACACATGCTCTTAACTCCTCTAACTCTTTTATTTTTAATTTATTGGAAAAAATAGAGCCAGGCAGGGTGTCACTATGTAGTCTTGGTTGGCCTGGGACTTGGTATGTAGACAGGCTGGCCTTGATCTCACAGAGTCCTGCCTGCCTCTGCCTCCCGAGTGCTGTCATTACAGGCCTGCACCACCACATCTAGCTAATTTTTTGAAGTTTTGGAAAGAGTTTCATATTGCAGCCCAAGTTGCCCTCCAGCCTGGAACTCACTGTGTAGTCAAGAATGACTCCTACTCTTTCTGTCTTCACCTTCCATGAGCTGGCATAACAGCCCTTCTCAAGACCTCCCCAGCTCCTCACACAGGACTTCAAAGTGGCAGTTTTACTTAGGGAAAAACAACAGAGGTCATACTTCTAATACTTCTAACTGCTGACACTCCAAGCTGGCCGGAGAGGGGAGTTCTTTAAGCCCAGGCTGCGAGGAAGGCCTGAATGGAGTTAACACCAAAGTCACAGATGGATCAGAGGTCTTCCAGAGTCCTGATGAGTGAGCTATGCCAGGGCTTAAGACCAAACCAAAGTGCCCCCTGGCAGTGTTGTCATCGTTGTAACCCCCACCCCTGCTCCTGCTCCCCCAGGCAGGCTAACCTTTGAACCACTGAACATTCAGCTTTAGGGAGAGCAAAGATCTCTCCTCTGCTCTCAAGGGTTAGCTGAGCCAACACATATGAAAACCGTTACATACATCCCTTCCCTGCAGGAAATGATAGTTGGAGATACACACCAAATTTTGTTGTATGAGTCTAGGCATTCCGGCTTAACGTTGTGAACTGAAACAAAAGAGAATGCAATGATAAACTTCTGAGCAGACGGACGGAGCCAACCACGGGAGGGCGGGAGCCGCTACTCACATTGTAACTTGTACAGACTGCTCGTCTCCTTCTTGGCTAGGAGGTTAGAGTGGGCATCTTTTCTTGGGTCGACCTTTCTGACAAACAAGGATTTTAGCCAGCTGTCTTCCCGAGCTCTGTGACTTGAGGACGTCACCCTCCTAGGGAAGAATAAAAAGTGTTGTGAACTTAAGAACAGTTCTGTCACATTTCCGGAAGCACAACAGTTCCCATAAATCCCCGGGGAGGGGTGGAGGGCTAAGATGAGCAAGGCATAAGCATAAATATATGAAGCTCACTATTAGAACAAAATAAATTTAAAAAATGAAACTCACTCTGTACACAACTTAAATAAAAAAAAAAAAAAGCTGGTTAGAAGATAGTTCTGGGGCCTTTGGCTCAACAGGTGCCAGCCACCGGTCTGTGACCTGAGGTTAATCAGAAGACGGTACCAAGTGACAGTGGAGAACTGCCTGGTGGCTGTCCCCTGACCTCCACTCATACACACAAAAGTGATAAAGTTCTTCTGAAGCTGAGCAGAGTAGCATGCCTGTAATTACAGCAGAGGCAGAGGCAGCGAGATCAGGTGTCAATTAAAGTTCAAGGCCGATCTGGACTAAGATATCGTATCCCAAATACCCAAAAGAAATTTAAAACATAATTTAAAAGAGAAGCAATTCCACGTGCTGCACTGATGATATACTAACACTCTGAAATCTCTGAGAGAAATTCCGTGGGAAATGTAGACACAACACAGTACCATATACACAAAATCTGGGAATGTGACTGAGCTTGGGTGGGAAATAATATTTTTCCCATTTCATTTTATAACCTAGACTTTGTGATAAATGTATATTGATGTACACCTTATTTTATGTGTATGTATATGTGTTTGTATGTTCACGGGTCCACATTTACATGTGGACGTCAGAAGACAACCTTAGGCATCATTCCTCAGGTTCTATCCACCACTACTCCCCCCCCCCCCCCCCCCTTTTTTCAGTACTGGGAACTGAATTTAGGGCCTCACAAATATTAGGCAAGTGGTCTGACCCATAGTCCTAGCCTGACTAAATTTTTTTTTTTTTTTTTTGAGACAGGATCTCACTGTGTAGAGCCTTGAACGCAGATCCTCCTCCCTCTCGCTCCCAAGTGCTGGGATCAAAGGCATGTACCACCTGGTATGCAGCTGGCCCTTTAAGATGAGTTCTGGGGATTGAACTCAGGTCATCAGGATTGTATAGCAAGTGCTTTAACCCACTGCGCCATTTCGATGGCCCCATTTTTTTTTTTTTTTTTTTTTTTACATTTTTAAGTGCAAAGATGTACATGTGTCTATATGACATACTCAAAGAGCTTAGAATAGCATCTGATGTGTGGAAAGGGCTTAACAAATTGTTGCTGGGTCTGGAGAGATGGCTCCATGAGAGCATGGACTGCTCTCGCAGAGGAGCCACGTTTAGTTCCCAGCATCCGCATTAGGCAGCTCAGCCACCTGCCCGTCAGCCCTGCTCCCGGTGGGCACTGCACTAACATGTCCACACCCACACAAGACACGAAACTAAAGACGGCAAATAATGAATTTTAACAATCTCCACCCTCCACAGGCTAAGGCTGGGAGGTGGAAAGCTTGAGGTCAGCCTGGCCTATATGGACACTCTTTTTTCTTCAACATCATATAGTGTTTGTTTCTACCATCAATCCATTGTTTGACTAAAAAAAAAAAAAATAAACTTATTTTGCAGAATCTCTAAATGAACTACAGCACATTTTATTTCAAGATATTAAATTTTTTAATTCACTTTTTTTTTTTTCTGTTTGGTTTTTCGAGACAGGGTTTCTCTATGTAGCCTTGGTTGTTCTGGACTTGCTTTGTAAACCAAGCTGGCCTCAAACTCACAGAGATCTGCCTGCCTCTGCTTCCTGAGTGCTGAGATTACAGGTGTGTGTCACCACCTTTGGCTAACATAACTTTTCAAAAAAAAAAAAGAGCCTTCTTAAACATTTTTGGTTGGCCTGGACCTCCCTATGTAGAGCAGGCTGGCTTCAAATTCGTGGCAATCCCCCTGCTCCGTCCTCTGAGCACAGGTGTGTATTTCCATGCCCACCTTGGTTTTTGTTGCTGTTATGTGAGACAGGGTCTCACTGTGTTGTCCTGGGTGGGGCCTGGAACTTGCTAGGTACACTAGGCTGCTCCCAAACTCACAGAGATCCACCTGCATCTGCCTCTTGAGTGCTAGGATTAAAGGTGTGTGCCACCAGGTGTGGCCTCAAGGGTTTTAAACACACTTTTTTTTTTTTTTTCTAAGAGTTGCAGAAGAGATGGCTCAGCAGTTA